CAGACAGCTAAAGATAGTGCATTGCACATAGCAATCAACACATCTTGGCCATCTATGTCAACATGATGATGAAGCTTGGCAGAATCACGGGGCATAAGCAATGAACATGCAGCCCCTCGGCCTAAAGCGTACATCCTGAAATCCTGAAGTCACGAGCGCTAACCACAATCCTGCAGAAGCCATCAAGAAACTCAGACTACAAACCTGAAAGCCCTAAGCCCTACACTCATCTTTTGTCAATCTGAAGCCTTAACTCTACACCCCAACCCTACTGTGTATTTCATGTTGGGTTACTTGCTTCGGGTGATGAGAGATCTTGGTAAGTGCCAGGTCCTGGGCCCTGAGCTTAGGCTCTGAACCCAAACCCTGAACTAAATTGTAAACTTGCAACCCTGAAGCCCCTAAGCTCTAAATCCTCATCCCTCGAGGCCTACACACCAACCCCTCAGCCTGGACCCTACCCCTGAAGTTCCCAAAACTCCTCTGCTTTAGCCTGGCGACTCCATGAGTCTTGGCCAGATTCGCCTGACGGCCGCGGACCTGACGCTTCATGAGGTCGTAGAAGCCCAGTCCTGCACAAGTTACAGGTTAGGGTCTTGTGATTCGAGGTCCAGGTCTAAGTCAAAGGTCCAGTCCTGCAAATAATACTAAACTTCGTTCAGGGTCTGGGGTTTAAGGTCAAATGCAGAGTTTGAGACTCAGGTTTCAGGCGTAGGCCTTAGAATTTGAAGTCTAGGGTGAGATATGCATGTGTATAATATCAGACAAATCCAATCGTAGAATGCCAGTCCTGCAGCGTGCGATGGGGCTTTTGCGGCTCGCAAAGGATCACAAATGCTTAGCAGTCTTCACAAGGGCTCTTAACAAGCCTTGTCCCAATGGCCTTTAAACATTTGCAGAATTTAGAAGGTGTAGAAGGGCTTAACATGGCTGAGGACCAATCCTGACTATTCGCGATGGGATATTGGCATATTTCATGGGGTTCAGATACTGGTTGATAGCACAACCAATCAATCACATGGTTGTCCATCAACCATGGTGTAAAGCTTGACAAGTCAAGGCATACCAGATGTGCACTATTCAGATGAATACACATACATGTAATGCAGTAAGCATCACAGAAGTGCAAAATGGCTTTTCGTCAGTGTTTGATGGGGATATTCACCTCGATTTCGGCTCAAGCGCAAAAGACCAAGCCGCTAAAACCCTAAGCCCCTAAACCCACAACCCAGCCCCCACATAACGCCTGCAACTCTATCTATTCCAGCTTACCCCTATATCATCTACGTATATCATCCGCACATAATCCGTTGTCATCCTGTCTTTGTCCCATATAGTCCCTATATAACCCTAGATAATCCCTTTTTACTCCCTAGAAGCAACGGTCAAGTCCTCCGCGCTCCTCGCTCAGAGGCTTACGGAGTCCCGTACCTGCAAAGGGTTCAGCAGTTTAGGGATCCCTGACGAGGGGTGGAGAGGTGTAGGCTTTGGGGAATAAGATTTGTTGGTATACGCTTGGGTTCAGCAGTTGGGGTTGACCCTCCCTTGGAAATTCGCACGTTGAAGCAACTATTTTGTATACAATTTAAAGAATAGGGTGCGAAGGGATAGGATGCGCTTAGGGTTCTGGATTCCGGGCTTTACGGGTCAACATGCTCGGGGTTGAGGGGGTAAGGGTTTTGGGTTTAAGCTTTACGGCTCAGGGCGTGGCTGAGGCCGACAAATGGACGCAGGTCCTTGCGCGGTATTAGCAAAGAGTTGCCAAATGCTACCTACTGGCCATTCATGCCTGGTTCTCGTTGGGAAAACGGTTTTTCCGAAAACCTGACATGAGATGGGCGTGGAGCGGGTGAATATCTGTGGCCGACTGAACATTACAATCCCTAGCATTAGACTCTGGGCAAAAGGCCGGGCGTCAGGTGGGCTGACGTGGGCGAAAGATCGTTTGAGGTTTCAGATTCCAGGTAACCTACGCAGCGGAGCGTGGAGTCATTCTGGTAGTCCGATAAATTGGACAAAGACAACCAAGAATGTTTGTACTCAGGAACTTGGTTACTGAATCGACATGTTGGGATTAAATCCCAAACCGTAAACTGCCCGTCCAGGATTCCCGCTCAAGGTCCGAGAAGTGTGAAAGCCAAACTTGCAACGTCCCCTACGCATTCATCAGGCACCAGAATCTTCAACTCCAATTCCAACATTTGCTGTCTACAGTCCCAAACGCCAAAACAAAAAAATGCATCCTTTCTTGCCCGCCTTTGAAATCCTGCAGGGCCTTCCAGTCCTGCGCTGGGTCGCACTACTGCATTGTAAGCAGAACCTAGAACGGTAAGTCGAAAGGATTATGTCCCTGTTGCCGGCACAAGTTGAGTGCTCTCCGGAGGTCTTGAAGGAGGAGCAACGGGCGCGGGGACACGGAGAAAATTGGAAGACTCGCCGCAAAATCTACCCTTGGAAATGCACAGGAAATATACCAAGAAAACGTGCATGAGTCACAATGAGAGCTGCACTACAAATATGAACCACAGGACTACACCCGATAACCGAACACTATCCGGAACGATGCGACCTGGGACAAGAGCCGGACCGCTGATCCATCTGAGTAAAATAAGCCCCGTGCACCCACGCTCTCTGCACCGGTTTTGTATGAGAACCTTTCTTGCAGACAACAACCTACATGAGCAATAGCGGCCGGTCCGTGTAGCCATCTCCGAAAAACTTCTCAAGCTCCGGTACTTGGTGGAACTGCGGGTAGTACATGGCCTTGGTGTTGCATGACCCGCTCCGCACCCTAATGAAAGGGCGTTAGGGGCATAAGGGATTTAAAGCTTTGGGGTCCGTATACAAACCATGTGGAGTTGAGGGCTTTCGGGGTTTGAAATGGGTTTGCAGAATGAGTCGGGGGGCCGTCCGACTTCAACCATTTTTTAAGACAAGACCGCAAGACTGGCTCAACACGGACCACCAGTAGCATGCACCCTCTAGCCCCACCCATTCGCATTGCGTTATAATCGAAGTTTCAAGTCCTCTGTTCCAGGCGGTGTGGCGTGTCGCGATCCTTCTGGCTACTCTTGGGTGTCTGTTGGTTGCTGGAGCCAAAGCGAGGACAACGCAAAATGTCGTTGGCTTTGACTTCAAGTTGTCATATCATGCCCGCTTGCTACGCGCGGGGCCCAGCCAGCTTCCCGTGCATGGGAGCACACCAGGCTCGAAAAACACGAGTGGTGGTGCCACAACACCTTCCCGCTTCCCACACCTCCGCCAACAAGTGACCAAAGACCCTAGAGCCCCGGCTCACAGGGTGCGGCCAGACGGCCCCCCCAGCCTCAGGCGAAAGGAAGGAAGAAAGAAAAGCCCCGGCCCACGCAGTGTGGCCAGGCCGCCCCCCGGCCTAGCAGGCGGATGAAGAATGAAAGGAATTAAATATTTGGAAGGTTTCGATCTTGTGCCGTCTGCCCGACTGGCCCCTCACCCTTGAGCTACAACGAGTACGGGCAAGATGCTCTCTGTAGGTCAGAACAAGCCCACACAAAGCTCACAACAAGCTCATAACAATAATCTTTTTGTCTTGGTTTAAGACTACCTCTGAAGAAACAGAGCAATGAATTAATATTTGGACATTGCATACACATAGCTGTATGCGCAGACATAAGAACGTCTGAGCAGGGTAGCATTGCACTCTTGTGTCTTGGTCACCATATATGCAAATGTACGCACGCACACCTGCTCGCACACGCATGCACACTCGCGCCATCATATGGATTTACGCGCAAACACATGTACGTTTGCAGGCAAGAAGAGGCCATGGGACAAAGCCACGAATCAGGTTTTGGGCGTTGCTACACCTCGGTGTGAAGGCAAATAAAGTCGTTGTGTCTCCACCCGACGTCTACACCCCAAAACCTCAACGCCATCTACCTCGCGTCAACAGCACATGCGCTCCAATGCTCTGACATGTTTTTGCAACGTACGCGGGCAGATGGCAGCGGGCCATTTGGAATGTTTTATCCCAAGTACTTTACTTAGCTGATACGGAGTTCTACTTTCAGTTCTCTAATGGGAGGCATCTGCGCATGCGCATTTCAAATTGTCCGTATCATACCTTGGTATGAGGACGTCTTGTGGTAGTACCTAGATGGATCCCTGCGCACTACTGGGTGACGAGTCACCACACTAGGGCCCTAACATGGTAATTCTCAGATGGATCCCTTTCGAACCCTTAACACTTCTTGGCCTCCTGTATTTGGTTCCAACCCTGCGGTTACTGGGCTGCGAGGAGAGCAAACAGCAATCGCACCATCTTGTGTCCATGCGATTCTTCAAGCGTCTCCTGGCAGCACAAGTCGGTACCTGAAGCAGGACCCTTCGGAAACCAGCCTCCTGGTTGCACCAAAAGCGCAGAAGAAATGGGAGGATCAAAGCGACGCCGAGACACACACATCGAATTTGCAACCACCCACCACCACGGCAACCACCACCGTCGGCGCCGGCGCCACCACCACCAGCGGCATCAGCATTAGCTGTACTAACGTTACGACTATGACTGTGACTACGACGACGACTCCCACTGCAGTCATAGCTGCCGCAGTTATGTATGGTCATTTACCCTGTTCAATTAAGTCCTAAGCCTTAGCCTTACTCACTCAGCCCCACTCTGCGAATTAATTAGGCCCTGCAATATAAATCCTGAGCCCTAAGCTGAAACTTGCATAAAGCCTCCGTACTAAACTGTAAGCCTTAGCAGCTTAGCATCACCAAAATCCGTGGCCATGCTACAACGACGGTAAGCCCTTAGCCATGCACGCGCAAAACCTGCAATGGCCTAAGCTCTATCACCTGTCATGAAGCATCGTGCTCAGACCTTATCCGACACTGATAAGACCTGTTCCAAGAATCACCCAGGCCTTACCCTGTACAATCCAGTCTCCGTTGCATTTTCCATTCTTGCTTCCACCTACATGAGAATCCCTCTAGTTGTTTTGCGCATGCGGCCACGTTGCAATGACCTTGGGGGCCGTGGGCATGGTGGCCAGGCTTCGGCCTCGAAGACGAAGGGCTGTGGCCTGACAGGAGAAGGGTCTTTTGGGGGTTTGAGGGGTTTTGAGGGGGCTTTGGCGGTTCAGGGGATTTAGGAGTGGTTGGAGGCTTAGAGGAGGCGAGGGTCTTAAAGTGTTGGTTGTTTAGAGTTTGGACTAAGATTAGGGGGTTGCGGGTTTTGGCTTGGCTGTCTAGGATTTGGGGGTTTTAGGGGGTTCGGAGTTTAGGGGCTTGGGGTTGGAGGGGTTGGGGGTCAGACGGGTGAACAACACATCTGTGGGCTTCTAGGCAGAAGTACGACAATGGATGGAGTGAAACCTAAAATCATCCTAGACTGGCTACGTAAGGGGGATATCATCAGACCTGAAGGCACCATGGTCAAGAGTTGATAGGGCGCGGGCCAAGGGGTTGGATTTTCAGGCCTTAGGCGCCCTTGAAGAAACTCTTGCGCTTCAGGCCTCTAAGGATTGGTAAACAACGGTCAAACATGACTTCCCGAAAGTGGTGAGGAAACCGGAAGTGCAGAGCTTGTTGAAAGCGCATTGAACGTAAACACCCAAAGATTCCCGGGAATGCAAGAGCAGCAGGCTGCGAGTGTGTCATAACTAATGCGCGCAAGACGTCGGCAAAGTCATATGAGGCCCTTCACGAAATCCAGGAGCGGAATCTAGCCCTGAAGGCACCCAAGCCACAAGACTCTGAGTCCAAAGACTTTGCAACAGTATGCAACTTTGGGACTTAGGGTTTAGGATTTAGGGTTTAGGATTTGGAAGGATTTAGGGTTAAGGATTTAGGGTTTAGGCTGTAGGGTTTTAGTAAGGACTCCTAGGACCACAGTGGGCTTTCTGTAGGAAGATATCGGCTTTGGGGGTAAGGTTCGGGATCTCGCAATGGGGATCTAAGAGCCTCTAGGGTTTAGGGTTGAAAAACGACAGTACTACTTCATTCACTCCATTGAAATGTACCAACAAGGCAAGCAGTAGCAATAGTAGCGTGGTGCGTGAGTAGCACTAGAAGTAGCAACAGCGATGACAGTAAAGTAAGATGATGTACTGATTTGAGCTATATCTGTGCTCTCTGGGCACAAAATGTAGTGAGCGCGTTCCTAAGGCTCCGGCAACAAAGCACTCGAGAGCATGCTCCAGGGCACCTTAGGCTCTAATCTTGAGACTGTTGACTCTTGGGGCTCCGGGCTAAGGATTTGGAGTCTCTGTAGGGGACTGGTTCCAGTTTGATGCTTCACGGCTTGCCAAATCATGGAAGGCAACAAACTGTTCACAGCAGCAGTTGCAACATAAATCATTCATGCTAAGAACGGTCCGGCAGAAGCCGTCATGATGTCGCGGTAAGGCCAACAACTCCCACGTCGCAGTCCGGAAGCTCTAAACCTGGTGATCTCGAACCTCAAAGGCACTTTCACAACATAGCTTTCCGGCTCTTAAGCCTAAACTCTACAGTCTGAACCTTGACCCTCTGAAAACAAACCCTTACCACAAAAACTCGTAATCCTGATAAACTACGCACTCTTCTCTCTGGGCAAAGCCACGTGCTTCGTCGTTGTGCTTCTGAATCCTGCGAATGGAGCGCTGATGAAAGGCAAGGGTCAAGAGCGGCGGAACTAGACTAGGACTGTTCGAGGACTAGGCTGTAGGAATCTAGGTTTAGGTGTAAGGTTTAGCTGTTAGGGAGAAGGGACAGCATGCTAGTCACTTAGTGCTTCAGACAAGTGGAGAACTGTGATACCTGCAGGATGTTTAGATAGGCGCTCTTGCAGGGTCTCGGCGCCGGGCTGAACAGTCCAGAAAAGGTTCCGGTAGTCCATATGGATTTAGAGTAATTACAAATTGGCTATTTGTGGGTGGGGGGGGGTCTATCGTGAAGGGGGTTGCTTGCATCATTGTGCTTTTGAGTTTGCATTACAATGAGAAAGCTACATTGTCTACAGCATGTTCTGTCCAACTTAGCAGGATAATGATATAACCTGGCAGCAGCCACTTTGGGTCTGAGGTCAAGTGGGATCACTCAAGTTTGACAGGTTTTCCATGCATGCGACTGAGCTCCATCCCAAATCCCCTAAGCCCTAAAACCTAAATGCCATAGCTTTACCCTAAACCCTAAACATCCTGAGCCCCAACGCCTTAAATCCTAACTCCTATCAATCCCTAAGCGAACCCCCTGCCGGTCAGGGGAGCAAGGCGAGGAATGGCTGAGACCTGGGCCGAAGCTTGGTCTGGACGTGGGGTTTCTTGGGATGAAGGCTTCCGGGCCAAGGTTTAGGGATTTGGGGTGGGGGGGGGGTTCAACCTGTAGTGGGTAAAGGGTTTTAAGGAAGATTGACGTTTTAAGGTTTTAGAAGCTTCGGGATTTTAGGGGCGGGGTGGGTTCCAGCTTGATAATCAAGGATTTTGGCAGGTTTCAGGGTTAAGGGATCGGGCTTGACGAAGCAGAGTTTGAGGGTACCATTCTTTGGTGTGTGTCGGCGGGCACACAGGGCCACACAGTCTGGAGGACTATGTATGAATTCTCGGGAGCCATACATTAAGTTTCTCTGCGAAATTGAGAAGAACACGCAGTTAACAGCTCGGAACAGCCCGGAATAGGCCGGTCGCAGCAGGCCAATGATCAACACCAAGCACCAAACAAAGTAGAGATTTTCTTTTAGGATTAAGGCCGTCAGGCTTACGGCTGCGCAACAAAAGTCTGACTGAGTGGACTAGACCCTGAGGATTTATGTAGCATTCTGTACGTATGTGAGGGATATACAGGGAGGAACGTGGCTCGGAACTGTAAGCCCAATCTCATTCCCAACTCTTCAGGTTGATGCGTTCCTCAGTCCAAAACAACCATCAGCCCCTACCGCTGAAATTTCAAGATGGTGTACACAGAGGTAGAAGTGCAATACGACCCCCGACGTCTCGACTATGCTATCTTCTGAGTCCCGGGATTTCTCTAACAGCCTGGGCAAAGCCACAAAACCGCGTTCAATCCTACCTAGCAGAACCCCAAAACCTACAGTACACCCTATATGAACCTTTTAAGGCCGTGGAAAAGCAGTAAACCTTAGCAGCTAAACTCTAGACTCTAAACCATAAACTCGTCTGAGAGGTTCGGGAGATCTAGTAGGAAGCCATAAATTACTGGAGCGTGTAACCCAGCTGTAGCCCAAAGACCTCTGCAAGGTAAGCAGATGAGAACCCCATGCCTGGCTTCCTCACTTCCACGAGACAGTCTTCAAAATCCCAAACCCTGGCCGCTATACCCTCAACTCTAAATCCAATCAGGTCATTCAACACTAAAACATATCAGGCACTGTAAAAAACCCTTTTAAGCCCTGAACTGCGACCTGCGATCCAAATAAAACCGTAAACCCTAAGCCCTAAATTCGCAACCTCAAAACTCCAGGCTCTAACCAAAACCCCTCACAGAAACCTTTCTTTAACAACCCGGCCCCTCTCAGTCCCCAGCCGCGGTCTTGAGGGGCTCGGCCTCCCGTCGGAGCCAGAAGCTGCCGCCCGCAACGTAGGTGGCCAGGTCCTGCAGATGATAAGCAGGGACAATAAGGGAAAGGTATGGAAAAGGGGAATCTACCGAATAATACTCGATATATATATATATATATGTATGCAGATAGGGACAGATATGTACATTGCATGAGGATATATGAGAATATTGACTATATAAGAACATGGAGGGATATGTAAGGGAATTAGAATACAGGGATTTGGGTGAGGTTAGGTGAGTTGTTATCATTTGTGTGTGCGGGAGGGGTCTCTGAAGAGTGGGAAGTAGACAAATGGGGATTACGGCTTTAGGGTTTGGGGGTTGGAGCTTAGTGTGTGGGGGGGGTTAAGGGTGAGGGTCAGGTTTGAGAGGTTTAGGGTCTGCAGTTCAGCGCTTAGGGTTTGGCGTCGGAAGCTCTTTGTTTTAGAGTCTTGGACTTCATCGGTTAGGGTCTTGGGTGTTGAGCATCGGGCCCTGAAAAGCAAGTAGTAACTAGAACTCCCCTATGCCCCTATGCCTGGCAAACTATAAGCGTGAAGATTATACCGGCTACTTTTACTTAGGTGCTATGAAAACACGAAAGAGTCACTTGGGTCTGCAGAGATGTTCAAGGTTTAGGGAGCTGTGGGGTTGAGGAGTCCCAAGGTTCAAAACATGTAGTCTCCACCAAGATTTGAAAGCTCTACAGACATGCAAGGCATGTTGAGGGTTCATGTGTTGGGCCCCCGAAGTAGCTCACGATGATAGCTATCATTCGTATAACTTGCGCTGATAACTACGCAGGAGCCTTCAAGTAGGTTCGAAACGAAAGTTTCCAAGCAGTGCTTAATGTTTGCCTTGCAATCGAGAGATTGGTGCTGGAGGATTTCGGATTTGGGAATCTTCTAATCCTTTGTAAACAGATCCTCAACTGTGTGAGTCCTTCGCAGATCTTGCAAGGTCGGGAGAAGATCAAAACCGCTTGAACCCTTTGAACAACCTAATCCTGATGCCCTCATTTCTTGCTACCCCGAACCCCAGACTCCGACGCCCTGAACAGGGTGGGGCTTGTCGTAGCGAGCTCCTTCTCTAAAAATCATAAAGCATCCAACAATGTCTCTGCAAGCTCCGTACAGCAGACATGAGATTTTCAGCTAAGCTGCAGCACCTCGCAACAATTGTCAATGGTGTGTACTTTCAGACCCCACTGCCAGTAGCTTGCAAGACCTCCAAGCCAGAACCTCAACCACAAAAAAAGACTCCTCTGCGTCGTTGAGGCCCACGTTGCCCGTGTTCATGAGCAGAAGCGAGCGGACGCCTCGCGTGATCTCCAGTTCCCAAATTCTTGAGGGATCCAACAATGAGCCTCTCCAGCCTCCACAATCCCTGGAGTAATATTGGGATAATGGGAAATCAAATGGAAACTACTATAGTACATTGGGGGTTTATAGGGATAATGGAAAAGAAAATGGAAGCTACCATAGTATTCTGTTTTAAATCTATCGAGGGGAGTGATTGCTTCAAGCATTTGTTTTTGGATGCTCTTGAGGTGGTCTGAAGCTTCCAATTTAAGGTTAAGGCTCACCCAGGTTCCAACTCCTGGGCTTTGAGATGTTCGTTATCAGCGGGATGTTCATGATGGTTCTTTCGCCTATTGTTTTTTTTGAGTGGTGATTGCGTTTGAGGGGCTTCCAAAAATTCCAGTTGTCATGGGTATTCTAGTTATTCTCGGAAGGGAAAACAACCTGGGGGCCCAATAAACATAGAACTTCCAGTCTCACATAGGGAGGGTGGCAAGTCTGAAGCAAACTGGAACAATGACAACCAACACAATCAGAATAGAAATTGTAATCTGAACTTCTGAATGGCATTCGGACACGAGATCATGACGATGACGAGTGAAGAAGAAGAAGAGCGATGGCAGCACTGGCAAAGACAAGCCTATTGTGTCATGGTGTTCAGTTCTGTGTCAAGGGCTCAAACAAGAAAGGCACAGTGGAAAAGCTAAAAATCCCCCAACATCAGGCCCCGCACAGGAACAGCATTGAGCCTCCGCATACCCACAATTATCCTTGAATGGACTATAATGTCTAGCGAAGGGGGAATAGTGTTTATCGGTAAACCAGACAACCACCTAAACCCTGCATATGCACATGCTATACTAGAAGTCGATCACAAGTTTCACAAATGCTAACAGCATTCCCGAACAGCATCCCTTCCTTCTTTGTGGGCTGCAGGAAGGTTGTAGGGTTGCTGGGATAATATTGCAGCCAACGGAGCTTTTGAGATATGTGGAGCTGTGCCAAAGAACTCCCATGGTGTTGCATTTTAGGTGTTGGTTTCATTCCCAGCATCCAAACCCTGCCCCAGCGTTATATAGACCGGAAAGAGTTCGATCTCAAAAAGCGCAGTAGTCTCCAAAGGGCTCATCTTGAGGTTACATGTTCCGTGGAGCATTGGGAGACCATGTTACACTAAGAATGACAACGGTAATGGAAAGAGCAATTGCTATTCGCCGAGCTAACACAGAATCCGCCCAATCTCCATCCTACACCCGCAACACAACACCACAACGCCTAAATCTGTCAATTCCTGCGCCGAAACACAACTGAATCGGTAATTCCCTACATCCTGAAATTACTTACTGACTATTCCTGGAGAAGAGATCCTATTTGCAATGCATAAGCAACCCCTTCCTCAAGAAGTATGAGTAGAGACACCTCACGAGTAAGCGTCGAACCCCATCCGTAGTAACCGAATCTCCGGCCTTTGGCACTGCTAGCGCTGGGTCCGGCCCAGGTGCGATTGCCTGCTCCATCGACAAGAGCTTCACTTGTAGGGCTTGGGGGTTGGGAGTTTGAGTTTGAGGTTTGGGGCTTAGAGTTGAAATTTGTTGGGCTTCTGGCATCTGGCTTGGGGCTCGAAATTGCTGGTACTTTCTTTGCTTGGGATCTGTACGCTTTCTCCAACTTCCGGATCCCTTCTTGGACCTCTGGCAGCAAGGCTATGAGATTTGGGGAGGGAAATTAGAGTACCGAACTGGAACAGCAGCGTTCCAGAAGTTCACAGCACAAATATCCACATTTGCCCTACTCGGCGTGGAGTAGGATCATTTTGTTCTCATCTGCTATTGCGAATGCTGCTAGGAGTGTACTTATTCGGAAGCATTGGACTTATCTTACACCTAAACGACACAGCTTATGATGTACTCACAATCCATGCGCTAGCGCACATGCACAGCATGATCATCTCTTCCTTATTGCAACGCCATCAGTGTCCCGATCAAACCCCGCTGTCACCAAAGCCCCAGGCAGCTTCTCGAAATTGTTGACACCGCAGCACATTCTCAAACGCAACAACACAACTGGCATGCATGATTGCGTGAAGACACTGGTCACACATTCAGCGAGTTGTGCCACACGAGCGATTTGTTGCAGATCAAAAGTTGGCAGATCAAAAGTTGGCACCGGTTTTGATTGAAGTGGGGCCAAACCAAACTCAACCCTAACCTTGGGCCAAAGCGCGGCCCAACTGATTGTGCTCTAAGCTCTGGCACGGACTTGGCTTGCCAACCTCTACAACAATCAGACCTACTACTATTGGGGCATTGATGGAACCTTAATTCGAGTAAGTACTTACCCGTAGACCCTGAATCCTGATTTTTGCGCGCCAAGCTTAAGCGCATACGCTGCGAAACCTGAGACCTTAAGCTGAGGTCAGCACCGAGGATCTTGCTGAAGACCGGCGGTGCCAAGTGCTTGGCGCTCATCTTGCGATCGATAATGGTGCCTGATATAGTAGGAAATCACATGTGCATGATGGAGAATGTAAACGACGATCTACGGCAACCTAGGAAGCAAACGGCCTGCCTTTCCAGCAAACTCATGTTAAGAACGGCACAGCTCAACTACCCGAGAAAAGGGCTGAGGGAATCCCCTGAACCCAAATCCCCCATAAATCCTACCCGAAACTCTGACCCAATAACGCTAAACCCCAAGCCCCACACCCTTTAGTCCTCAAATCCCAAACCCTGGACCTTAAACCTTATTTCAATTACATCTTCTGATGTTTTCCCCAATACTGGCGAGTAACCAAACATCCACATGTCATCAATCCCAGACATCCCAAGATAATCCCTATGTAACCCCGATAAACGCCCTTCAAATCATGATCCTAAACCCCAGGTCCGCGACCTGCTGGGGCAATCAAGTCCAGGGAAGGCCTGGTATTTTGAGCTTTTAGCGCTCGGCAGTAAGGATGTAAGGTTAATGGCTTGGGGAGTAGGTGAATAGGGCGCAGTGTTGAGGGGCTTGAATTTCATTTCAGGATCAGGGCTTCTGCAGAGGCTTCCTCAGAAGTTCATGTATAGGTATACATGAGCTCGAAGTGGGATGGCTTCATCGCTGTCTGAATTGTGCGGCTCTTCTTCCTACTAGCTAGCATGCCACTTCAGGCAACGTTTCTACAAACCAGGGACTGTCAAGGAATATTGTCGCAAGCACTGAGATCTCTAGCTGACGGTTGAAGGCCTTGGGCATGGGAGCTTGCTTTCCACAGCTGGGGATTGAGTGACCACAGGCTCTGAAGCGCATCTACGCGCCTGCAAGCAAACAGGCGATAAGAAACCTTGAAACGAACAACCCTACCAGCACTCTCAACGAATGGTAGTTGGCTTCAAGGCCTATTCCAACAACTGTGACTACAGACATCAAGGATTCTTTTGAAGTAGCTCGCCACTCCAAACTTTGGCACAAAGAAAACCCCCTGACCCCTACATCTCCCGGAGCCCATGCTGACTAGATTAACCTTCGGAAGCCCAAAAATCACCCCATGCACTCCCCAGCTGCTACCCCCAGTACTACAAGTGCTGCCCTCAAAACCCTGAGGCCCAAACCCTAAATGCCACCCGTAACCTGAACACCCCGCCTCTGAAAACCGTAGCCCCGAAAATCCTGAACCGCAATCCTACTGTTGATGGGCACAGCCCTACATGACCCAATATGGCCAAACACTAGGATCACGGAATATTTGTCCATCAACACCACACATCCTCGGCCAGAGACCTTAAACCCAGAACCTCAGGCATTAGCCCTGAATCCTATGGCGGTGACCGGGGACCGCACTGCGTGGCAAAGGCGTTCAGCACAGAGCGCACGTGGAAGCGGGAGCCGCAAAGCGACTGGCAAAGGGTGTTCGGTTCGAGGGCTTACGGCTTCAAATGTTCAGCATTTAGGTTTGAAGGCTTGGGACTTAGGTTCAGGGTAGTGGGTATGTGGTTTAGGGTCGAGGGTTTAAGTTTGAGGGCTTCGCGTTTAGGATTTCGGACGCATGCTGACAGCTGCAAGAAAGCCGGCTAAACCTTAAAACCCCTTGCAAACGCCGGAGCCCAAACCCCAACTCGTGGAAAAATATCCAAAAACCGCCAGCCCCTAAACCCTAATACGCTAATAATCCTGACTCTGAACCCACAGAACCTCAACACCCTCAAACAACAAAACCCTCAGCCCGAAACCATCACAATTGTTAAACCAGCAGCAGCATCAGCATCAGCACCAGCATCAGGAGACTGCATTCGAACTTAGACTTCACCATGGCAACAGCAATAGCAACAAACATGATTTTAAGACTCATAGTAGCAGCATCCAACGCATGTTTGCCTATTGTACTATACGTAATACAACTACGTCGTCCTATCCCCGAACTAAGCCTTCAAGCCCAAATCTCTCAACTCCTGAACTCACATTACTGATCCTTCAACTAAGGTCCCCGCACCACCACACCAGTCACACCTTAACCCTAGGCCAACAAACCTACACCCGAATCCCTCAGCCCATGCCCCCTCAACCCTAGCCCTCGACATTAAAGCTTCCATTGTCAACGAAACTATTGTGTAACGGAAACTGAAGCCAAGCCCACCCAAACCCCCCCCAACCCAGAGGCGACCTGAGAAGCCAGCTGCTGAACATCATCCTTAGGCGACACGCGGAGCTTCCTCGGTGCTCTAGGCTTCGGCAGAATTCTTGGAATTTAGGGATGATGCATTAGGGCTAGAATTCGTTCAGGCTTAAGCTTCGAGATGCCTATGGTTGAGAGCCTGTACACCACGTGGCTTAGGGATTTCGGGATTAAGCTTGGGCTCAGGGATTGCAAGCCTTGGGGTCTAGGGCTTCGGATATCTTTGATTAGGGACGAAGGTGTATAGTTACGGCTCGCTTTTGGGATTTGGGCTTACTGCTTCTGATTTGGAGCGCTAGGGGCGCTGGATTTGTTCTCTGGGGTCCGCGAGGTTCGTAGTCGAGGGTTTCCTTCGGGCTTGGGACTATCGGGAACGAAAACAGCGGAGCACGGGAGTACTTTGGTGTTGCAAGCAACTTCGAGAACGGTCCGTCTCACAGTACAGTAAACCTTAAAATCCGAGACCTTAAATCCTAAATCCTAGGTTGCCCTTTGCTTCATGGAGTTTGAGGGGTGTAAAGAAACGTTGAGGCTTACTGATTTCTGTAAGGAGAGGTATTCAGGGTAGCTTAGGGGCAAGGTGCAGAAACGCAATGTTAGGTCTAAGGTTGGGAAGCTGAACTGTTAGACAAGAATTTTTGAACCTCAGAACTGAAGCAAGCGGAGGTTGAAAGACTGGCACACACGAGGTTTAAGGCCAAACGTTGTTCCTTTAAGTCGAACCGAACGAAACTTGAAGAGTTCAAGAGCTAAAGGGAACCGGACCTATGCGCTCTATAACGGGGAGTGTTGCTGCCAATTTTCGGTGGCGATCGCTTAAAAGGACGAGTACGTCTCCAACTGGATGCATTGAGTCTTTCCCCTGAATCGAAATGGGTTCCCGCTGGTCTGGAGCAGTCTGTGTTTGTGAACTGTTTCCGTAGTCTCGCCGTCAGCGTCTTTCAATGAGTCACCTGCAACCTCTGGGTCGTCGGGCTTAGGGCTTGGGAGCTGCTCCCGGGATAAACTTCCCCTGTAACTCTCCAGACGACTTTAACAAAGGACCATTGGCGCGTGCCCTCAGTTCAGCACTGTGGAAGAACACGGCAACTGAAGCCACTCCGGCAGAACTTGGGCTAGGGCTTAATTTGGAGCTTGCGTGTACTTGTTCGAGCTCAGCGTTCTCATAACTGACGGTTGGACTGAAAACTAAACTAAACAGTTTGAATGCGGTCGGGATCCCCCTGCGCACTGCATACCCTGAACCCCAACACCCTGAAGCCCCTTCAAAATCTAGAGATGATTACTTCCGTAGAACAAATAAACATCCTATTCTGGGCCACATGAAGGGGTTCTCGAAGTTGGGGGGGTCCTCATAATGAGAAATGCAATGTTTTGGCGGGGTATCTGAGGGCCCCTCTCTATGCTTTAGTACCACGTTATTATAGAGGCAAGCTACAGGACAACGTCGTAGTCCACTCCACCCCGGGTGGCGGAGTCCAACTGCATCAGGAACCTGGGCGAGAAAAGAGTGTGAAGGGCTTCGTCTTATGGGTTGAGTCTTATGCTTAGGGCTGCTTAGGGCTTCAGGGCCCTGCGGGTATCATATACAAAGGGCCCGCAAACAGAGTAGAATTTGTAGGATGCGATACAGATTATGCAGGGGGGGGATCCTCACTTCAAGCAAAACACATGATGCTATGAGCGGCCATGTTAGCACAATCGGCGTCGCCTGTCCAGGATTCTAACCCCTAGCCTGAAGTGGTTAACCACTAACTTCCATTCGCAAGCCCCAACGCCTAAACCATAAGCCCAAAATTCTGTGTAACGAGATCCCGCAACCCGAAACCCCCCTTTTGTAGCGGCTTGTGAGATGTCAAAACCAAACCCAAGCCCCCACAGATAGAAGTTTCCACGTCATGCAGCACTTTCATGTCCATTTCATTCTCCACTATTGTGGATCCCAAAACCTGATTCCTCAACCCAAAAAACTCCAATGTATATTTTAGGCAGACCCCCCGCGTCCTGTAAATTCCTTCAATACTAGTAGAATAGAAATACAAGAGGGCCCTAATATGATCATCCTTGTGACTTGTAGTCACCATTACCGGGCAGGTCAACCCAATGAACATCTATTAAACCTTCGTTTCCAGATCATTCTTTGGCTAATTCTCCAGTATTGGAAACCCCCATGCAAAACTGCCACGTCTCTTTAGCTGAGCTGCTGAGGCATGTCCGCGGCAGCACCCGCAGAGTTCGTCACGAAAATGTTGGCCTTGGTCAAACGGCGCCAGGTACGCATGACTTGGGGCTTTATGGATCTAGGGTGTAGGGTTTCAGGGTCCACGGGTTCATGGGTGTGGGGTTTAGTGGGGTTTAGGATCTGGGCTCCGAGCTAAGTAGGAAACTCGCAACAAGTTCTAAGAAGGTAGTTATCCTGCGAATTTTTGAGCTGACTATTCCAGTTTGAAAGCATCTCCAACGCTCCGTGCTTTCAACATGGTGCGTCCGTGCTGTGGCGAAGTGTGCTTCGACTTTGTTTTTTCACCCGGGAGGTGCGAACGCGTTCATGCGACTCCAACAATGTCACATCATCTGCCTACTTTGGAACCTCAACCAACAATCAAAATCATGCCAAAACCCCGAGACTTCTGAACCGAACCCCTGCATCCTGAAGATGAAGGCTTGAAAATCCCAAGCCCCAATCCTCTAAGGCCCAAATTCCTGAATTCAATTTCTAAACTATATAGCGTAAACCCTAAAACCTTGCATTGCAAACTCTGAGCTCGCAAAAACGGAGACCGGGCCGATAGGGAAGGGGTGGGGGGGGTTCTTGTTTGGCTTAAACAAGAACCCCCCCCCCTCCCTTCGCTAAGGTGGGCCGGTGGGGGG